CACACACACACACATATATATGTATATATATTTAGCTGATTATATCTGAGATTTCATTTCCTTATGAAAAAAGATTTTTTGTAATCTCATGTGTGTTTAGCTGCTGCCTCCAATGTTAGGTACTATTGTGGAAGTAATCACCACATATGGTACTTTCTAGTCTAGTGACCATTTTCCTCAGCCATTCTAATAGTAAAGAAAATTTACTATGATAGTAAATAAAAAATACTATAATAGTAAAGAAAAAACATTATGGTTAAATGCAGTGGTTATTGTTTAACACAATATTAAAAATCTCAAATTTCAAAAAAATTTAACTTTATTATAACTAAATTTGAGAAAACTGTATTTGGTATAATTAAGTCATTTTTCCTTGATTTTTGCAGCCATTTGTAGATACCCATGTGGAAAAAGCAGGGAGTGTGTTGCACCAAACACATGCAAATGTAAGCCTGGTTACACTGGTTCTAACTGTCAAACTGGTAGGTACATCATTCATCGTTTGTATAATCAATTTCACTTGATAGTTGATATTTCTAAAGCATGGGCTCTATTTTGTACAGCTGTATGTCATCCTGCTTGCAGAAACCATGGAAAATGTGTTAAGCCTAACATTTGTGAATGTCTTCCAGGATACGGTGGAGCAACCTGTGATGAAGGTGATAATTCAAGTTAAAAATCATCTGCTAGGCTTAAAATAAGACATTTTCTCTTTTAAATATTTTTAAAAGATAATTCAGTTTTATTATATATATTACTATGTATTCATTAATGTTGATACACGAGTCTATGCTTTTTAATATTCAATAAAAATAATTTTAGAATTTTAAAAAGTTGAATTTCAGAAATCTGATCTCCAAAAAACAATGGTTTATCTTTGGTAAAATTATTTTCCAAAATCATTTTTTGAAATTTAGTTATGAGGTATCATATCCCTACAAATATTTTGTCCTGAAGCAAAAGATTATTAATTATTACATGACTTATCAAGAATTATTCCAAGAACCAATAAATGTAAAATAATTGGAATTTATAAGGTAAGAAGAGGCCTAAATAGTGATTTTTAAAATGTATCTATGGTCATATAAATAACATTGCTTTGGCTGAAATACTAAGTGAAAAAAATATGAAATTTTTTGTTAAAGAGTTTTAAAGGAATATATTTTTAAACAGTCCCTATAATTATAAATAAGATTGGAGTTTTAAAAATTCTTCAATGACAAGGTGTTAATTAACAAATTAATTTAGGGTGAACTAACAAAAATATTCACACCAGTAACATAAAAGTAACTATAGAAGCACAGAAAAATTCTGTTTGTAGAACAGGAACACGTAAGCCCCAGAGTCACTTTTCAGGAGACACCAACAGTTATATATTTCCATTCAATTAGTAAACGTCTTATAAGCCTTTTACACACTTATGTGAGTTGTGTTTTCTAGGTTTCTTTTATAAACCAAAACATGCTGATCACTGGTTTTTCAAAAGTGTGAATCCATATAGTTAATCCTACAGAACTAAATTGTGTAATATTGAAGAACTGAGATCATTATAAATTGTTTTTACAACAAGGCTTATTGTGCCTGTGGTTCCTGAATATAAACTGATTTTTAATTAAATTATCATTAACCAACTTAATGATATAATCTGTGTCTGCAGAACTTTGCAACCCACCTTGTCAACATGGTGGCATGTGTTTGCCCGGCAATCTCTGCACTTGTGCTTATGGCTTTGTAGGACCAAAGTGTGAAACAAGTAAGCAAAACTTTCTTTCTCTTTTGATGAGCTAATGGCTTTAATGCTAAATGAAATGAACCCAAACCTTAAGTAAAGAACACATGTTCATGACTTATGATGACAGTTACCAATCTAGGTAGCACTGGAAGCAACTATGGGTGACCAATATTAAGTTAAGAATTTGGTTTTCAGAATGATTCTCTCCTTGACCCTAGCCATAACCTTTTCTTTGAGATATCAGGGACTGAAATGTGTTCATTTCCATATAAGTGTATCTGATTTAATTTAAGATTACTTTCATCAGTAATGTAATTTCTCCACATGATCAATTCTTGCTTACTATTCTGCTCAATGATTTTCTACTTTCCTCATCTCTCTTAATAAGAAAATAATTGAACATAAAAACTGGAGAGCATTTAAAGCCAAACTATATAGTTATGTTTTATTTTTCTTCCTGATCTTACTCATTGGCTGTTGTGATTGGCAGCTAGCAACTAGCTAGGTAATACCCAACAGTATGACCATTTCACACCTGATTTACCTTAATTTTATTTTTATTCTATGATCTTAGTGATTTGTAACAGACACTGTGAAAATGGAGGTGAATGTCTTGCACCAGATATTTGCCAGTGCAAGCCTGGGTGGTATGGACCTACCTGTAACACAGGTAAAATAAGAAATATTTTCAGTGAAGTTGTCAAACTAAATTTTAAATGTGACAGTGATCTAAAGACTTGAACTTAAGAAACAAAACTGATCTGACATGCCAAGTACGAAATTGTCATTTCAAATCTTACGGTTTAATTTTTTATCTTCTTATATTGGGCCAAACAATCCTACAGCTTTTGTTTTTGTTTTTGTTTTTTGGTACCGGAGATCGAACTCGGGTCTTTGCGCTTGCGCAGCAGGCGGCAAAACCACTGAGCTAAATCCCCGGCCCCTGTTCCTATAGCTTTGTTATTGTTATATCCAGCCAATATTTTTTTTAGCTTTTGTAGTTCCCTTAACTGTTTAGTTTGTGTGGACACAAACTTCCTATCTGTGTTGCATTTTCCAGGTTTTTTTCAAGTATTTTTTATCACAACACATTCTATTTAATAATTCCTAAGTAATTCTGAGTTAACTGCACATTCATAATTATTCTATTTATTTATCACATTGTCAGACTTCTTTAGCAGCAGTGTTTTCAATTATTCATGTTTAATCTAATTGATGTTATCTAATGGCTTTTCTCAATGAAAATTTAATTCAACATTTATAGCTTCCTAATTATATACAAAGAATGATGCAAAGGGAAACAAAGATTAATTTGGCTTTTGCCCTTGTTTCAAGTAGCACATCATTAATGAAGGAGAAATAAGATACAATTATTATAAAAAGAGATATGAGACAGGTTGGTGTATAATAAATTATATAATTGAAACACTTCGTTGGAAGCAAAGAGAAATTAATTAGCAAGTAGAATTTCGAAGAAAACTATGTGGATGTTGGAGAACTGATAAAATCTAGGTTAAAAATAGAAATGCCTTTCAATGCAAAACAAAGGTCATGAAACAAAATGAAAGAACTTTTTAGAGTATTCTGGAGTTGAAATGCAGTGTCCCTGTATTTGGGAAGGAGACAAAGACACATGAATGAACATATGTATTTGAGCTGGTTACAAACTATTCTGTTAGTGTTATTGAATTAAATAGTCTTCTCTTAAAACCTTTTCTGTTCATCTTACCCATGGCTTTCTGAATTTGAGTCCCACATTCTACATTCTTACTGTAATATTATTTATAAACTTAATAAACATACTTTCAAAGAATAACTTAGCTACTTTCCCTTATTTGGCAAAGTCCAGTTAATTATAGGTTATGGATTTTACTTTGAGTAAAAATAAAATATTTCATTATGCATCAATTTTTATTTCTGTTCAACCTTCATTTTTAAAATAATAAAACATTTATGTTTCTTTTTTCGTGCTGTTCATCAGCTTTGTGTGATCCCGTTTGCCTCAACGGTGGTTCCTGTTACAAGCCAAACACTTGCCTCTGTCCAAATGGATTCTTTGGTGCACAATGTCAGAATGGTAATTATATTTATATATAAGTAAAATAGGCAAATGAGATGCTAGAACTCAATAGAGCTGTGAGCGAATGCAAGACAGGTTTTGAAGTGGAAGATGCTATTTATTTTTTTCCCCTCTATTTCTTGTTGATATTGAAGGTATGGTCACCAAATGATATCATCATATATATGTATTAGAGTTATTGTGTAAATGGTTATATTTATTTCACTGTGTTAGCCTCACAACTTTGACATTTGCGCAGTTTTGTAGAACCAAGATATGAAAAATCTAAGCAAAGGTCTCTTACAGTTATAATGAAATGGTTACACTTTGTTATCTTCATGGCAAAAAATGTTTGATTTGTGATCAATCTATTATCTATTGTTATCTCATAATCTCTCTAGTTTCATTAAACATTTATGAAGAGTCATCCATGCACAACATTGTGCAAAATTATGTGAAGAGAGGCACAGTATTCCCCATTTGTGGCCCATTATTTTAACACCATCTTCTGTACAATTAATGTAAACTGATTTTATCAGAATAATGGTAATGTCTTGAAGGTGACAGTATAGGTTTGAGTTAATGCCAATAAATTAAATTTGTAAAGTATTTCTGCATCTTTATATTTTTGTTTCACTAAATGTAGTTGATTTTTAGTATAGAACATGTCAGAGCATCATAATTTAATTCCTAAAAGCTGTATTTTCCTTACCATAATACTTTGATTTACAAACATATTTTTCTTTTATTTGGTGGTAGACTAGGATTCTTAGAATGAGACTGAGCAGAGAATAAACCATCATTCCATCAAGCACAAGAAAGATGAACATAGGGAATGAGTTTTTCTAATTTAGATTTCTGACAAGGAGCCAACTTGCAAAATGGAAAGAAATAAAGACTAAATTAAACTAAGTCTTAACAATGAAGAGACAGCCTAAATCCATTCTGAAGAAAAGTTATAGTTTAGTTTTGAGTGGAGAAAGTAAAGAGGACAATGAAAAATCTGATTTGTCATGCTTCTTCAAAAGGTGAAGGACATAGTAAGAAAAGTTCTCAAAAATATACATGGACTATGTAACTGGATAAAGAAGGGAATCTCTAAACTATTAAGTTGAACTAAAAGTTTTCTATTGAATACTCCTTTTTAAGGGCAAGGAAGCAGGTTATTATGAGAAGAAAGCAGATTTTGGAATTAGTCCCTACAACTTCCTAGCCAGCTTACACTTTGGAAATTTGCTGTAAGTCTTCAGGCCTCAGAATTCAGTCCTCAAGTTTTCAAGTTTGACCTAGACAGTGTTAGATCACATCCCTTTGTGAGCCCAAATGAGAGGAAGGGAAGTTGGCACACATATGAAAAGCAAGTGAATAAATTTTAGTTAGAATGTTTAAAAGTAAGTAGGAGGAACATATTCTGTGTGTACTATAGAATTTCAAAGGAAAAAGAAATTGATTTAAAACCACAATAAGGATAAACTACTTATTAATAAACAAAATTTAAAATGTATAACTGAAGAAATGTATAAATATACTTTCTAATTTTCTTCACCTCTTAAAATTCCTTTTACCTTGCCTCACTTTGGAGTTTGGTGGGATAGCCTTCTGAGGCCTGTAGAATCTTGTGCAAGGACTTGTTTTCTCCTAAAACTCCTTTTCCAATATGTGATTATAGTGCAAGGCAAAATTCAAATTTCATTCTCTTTATATTTATTGTTTTAATTATATAGACTTTTTGTGTAAATGTAGTGTTTAATCTCTACACTCACATTTTTGTGAATACTTGTTAATTATACAAAGTTACCCACCATAAACAAAGTTGTTTTTTCTTTTTAATTTTAAATTTCTAACTATAGGCATTTGTTATGGTGTTTTTGTCATGGAGAGAATTTTTTTCTGATAAATGTAAATGATCTTAAATTGTGTCAAGAATAAGGAGTATAAAATGTAAGAGCATTTCACTACTAATAACAGTAAGGCATACCTCTGTTTGAATCTACTTGATCTGTTTGAACATCTGAATAGAGGTGTTTTATTAGTAAGTGTTCAAAATTTCAGTGGCCAGCAACAAGCATTTATTTCCATTATACATAGACCCTACAGATTGGCTGGATTGGACTCTAGAATGTTTCACCTGTTTCTCTTCCTCTGTACACCAACATTTACATGGAGCATGACATTCTCAAGTAAATAGGACAGCAAGAAGGCAAGACAAATTTCACTGTATATAGAAATCTTCTTTCTTGCATTTTGTTGACTCACACACAGGCCATTGGTCAAATTAAATCCCCAAAAGAGTAACAATTTTACAAGAAAATAAGCTCCACCTCCACTGTGGGGAGGGGACACAAAGTCAAATGGCAAAGGGCATGAATGAAAAGAAGGGTAAAAAAATTGGGAATAGTAATCAGTAATTCAACCTAACTTCATTTAATATGTCAACACAAATTATTGTCACAGTTTTTCCCATTCTCAATGAAGTTCGTTGAATAAATCCTTTATAAAAATGTGCCAATAAAATATTACAGAAAGACTCAAGCATGAACCAAGGAAAGTTCATCTTAAATTAGCAATTATCCATTGCTAAAGCATCCAGTTATATTGTTTTTATAATTAAAGTGCTATATTTTTATTTACAAATCCATTTAATAATCAGTGGAATTTTTTTACAGTGTTTGGGAATGAAGAAAGCAACTACTAATAAGAGCTAGTCTGTTACCAAAACCTATTAATTTGAAATTCATTTTTAAAATACAAATATAATCCATTTTAAATTCATTTGGAGAGAAATTTTTTAAACTTTCAGACAGGTTTGTCTGTGTAATTTCTTTTTTTAAATGCTGCATTTAGAGGCCTGGATGTAGCTCAGTGGTAAAGTGTACAAGACCTTCACTTCCTTTTCTAGTACCAAAAGCAAACAAACAAGCAAAATGCTAACATTTAATTTTTATATATGGAAGAAAGATGAAGCAATAATAATTCTCATAAAAATGATAAATATTTACATCTGAATTCCAAGGAACAGAATTATATACACAGAAGATACTAGTAACATGTATTCTGAATATCTAGTAAATATTGCAAATAGAGCCAAGGATTATTGCTGAAAATCTATACCAAAAAGGCACAGAAATTGGTCATATAATTGCCTCATGACCTCAGTAGGTATTTAAGAGTAAACAAAAATATTTTCTAATACTTTTATGGTATCATGAGACAAATTGTTGAGATTTTTCTAATTTCCAAAAAGGCAAATAAATTCTTATTTTGAGCTAGGTTTTGATTATTTTCATGGTTTTTGTCCAAATCATTTCATGCTGCACTTCATAATGTGGTGAAACGTGAGTTAAGATTTATAATATGTTCACTGTGATAGCAAAGACTACATTTGTTATGAATACTCCACCAATACATTTTGAATTGTACTAGCCCACTAGCAGATTATGGCTATAGCACTGTATTTTATGATTAAGAAAGTATAGTTTTAATGACTTGCAGTTGTGATCTTTCATTTTAGTAGCACATCCCTCTGCCTTATGGCTCCATAGATAACAGGCACATAATACAATCAATATATAACCTCTAGTAACTGAGTATGTGATATTCATATTTTCCTGCCATGTGTTCTTTTTAGCTATCTGTCACCCTCCCTGTAAGAATGGTGGCCACTGTATGAGAAATAATGTGTGCATCTGTCGTGAAGGATACACTGGTAGGAAATGCCAAAAAAGTAAGTCACCACTAAACCTATTTACCAATTATAGGCAAAGCAATCACAAAATTATTGCTGTTTAAGAGCTGATATTTCATGCTTTTACCTTAAGGCATCTGTGATCCTATGTGCATGAATGGAGGAAAATGTGTGGGACCAAACATTTGCTCTTGCCCTTCTGGTTGGAGTGGGAAACGATGCAGCACACGTAAGAATGCTCTTAAAATGCTAAATGCTAAGTGAAATGAAGCAGACACAGAAGGTTAAGCGTCACGTGCTTACTCCTGTATAACAAACCCAAAGTATGAATAATTTAAAGAGCAAAATAAAAGACAATGATGGGAAATAGGGAAATAGACTGTATGGGATGGGAGTGGGATCTGGGTATGGGAGGAGACAAGCTGCAAAAGAAAGGAAGGGAAAGTACAAAGGATCAAGATGCGATATGTGTGTGTACCAGTTCCCCATGACGAATGTGTTTGTTATGTATCACAAACATATACTGATAGTCTTAGTTACTAATAGTCTTAGACCCATGCATGATTTTTTCACATTAGCAGAGGGAGGGGGTACATTGTATTTTCTAGTTTTTCAACTATACATTAGCCAAAGATAAAAAAAAAATCTTTGAATTCTGTTCTCTTAATCTGAAACAGAGGTCAAAAGTTTTAAAAGTTGCTGATTTATTGGCCTCACCTCAACCCAAGCAACTCAGGCCTTTCCAAAGTGGGGTTTCACTGCCTTTCAGTTAGTTTCTAAGCTACAGCAATTCTCAGTATCCCTTTCCATAAAATTATTATTTAAAATAAGCAATCATTGTAGTGTGATGATCAAGGTAAAAAATGAGAAGCCACATGGATAATTCCAACAATTTAAGAAAACTTACAGCACAGTATATTCAAACACTGGGTTGTACAAACTTTAAATTGACATTTTTAAGAATATTATAAACCAATTTTGATAAAATATGAAGGGAAAAGATCCTTTAATCATTGGCTTTTAACATTGTCTCTTTAATTACATTTTTATGGCCCATGATAGGATTTGACATGTAATTTAAAATTTTAACTCATTTATATTTCTATGTGCAGCTGTTTGCTCTCAGAAATGTAGAAATGGTGGTGAATGTGTCTCTCCTGGCATATGCCACTGTCCTCCCACCTGGGAAGGAGTGCAGTGTCAAATCCGTGAGTTCACAGGACCTTTTTCTATTATATATTCTGACTCTGAATGTGTGATAGTCATTAAAATATAATCTTTGAAAAAACATAGTGGGAAAAATTTCCAGCATGCTGATCTTTTTTAAAAAAGTGGTTTAAAAAATAAAAATAAATCATAAGCAAGTTTGTGACCATGTAACATTGACATAATCAACTAGTTCTTGTGACATCATTTCAAATTACAGTCTGTGGTTTGCTAATGAAATTTCTTCAGGTGGGCCAAATAAAGTTTTATACAGAAGTTTAAATATTATTTTATATTATTAAATTAACATGTACTTACCAAGGAAACTTAGAAAATATGGAAAAATAGGAAAAAACTAATCACTTCAAATTTTACCACCCTTAATTAATTTCTGTTACTGTTTTGGTATTTATATATTTCCATCCAGTTTTACTTGTAAATTTCTTCATAAATAAATCCCAAGCTATAGGGGAAAAATTTTTATGAAATTCTGAAATTTATGAAAACCTGAAACATCATGTTAAAATATTAACAAAGATTAATTTAATAGGAAAAAGTTTAAACCCTCTAAAATATTTTCAGATAACCAATAATTTCTTAAGTTCAAAATTATTGGGAAAAATGTACTGTAAATTGAAATTTAGTTGCAACCTGACATTATCTTTTTGTTGTTTGTTTGTTTGTTTTTTGAGACAAGGTCTCACTTTGTAGTTCAGGTTGACTCTGAACTCACTATGTAGCCCAGGCTGGCTTTGAACTCATGGCCGTCCTCCTGCCTCAGCCTCCGGAGCGCTGGGATCCACCCAGCGACATTATCTTTTTATTAGAAATATATACCTTCCCTTTCTGTCTATGAACCACCCTACTGTTTTTCTGAATCAGAAATTTTGCATGTAGTTTTCATGACTTAGATATTATTTTATCAGTAATTGCTAGTATAATTTATATACTTCTTAACCTAGAAAAATATATCAAAGTACTATTAAGTCCCAGGAGCTACATAAGCAATTAATAATTCGGATTAGAAGTTAGATGTGGTAGAATGCTAGAATAACAAAGCTATGAACCTCAGTTTGGGCAGCTCCTGAAGTCAGTGTGGACTATGAGGGGGAATGATGAGAGGATGCTGAAAGCATGCGAGTGTGGAAATATACTCCAGTGGTTTGTAGATTGCGGTCTCTGAGCTGCGTAGTCTGTTCCTACACCCTGCAGCACCTTTATTCATATGAATAAAATTTTTTAATCCTCAAATGCTTTATTTCCAAGTGTTCCAAAACTTTTCCATACATTGCGTATGCTATCTAAACAGATGGTTTACTGCCATCTGCTGGGAATTTGGTGTAATAGGTATTCAAATATATGCTACCTATTTTATAATTACTTAGCTTATGGAGCACTTGTCTAGTATACAGCTTGCCCAACTACATATAGCAGCCCTGATAAAAACATAACCTGTCAACGTTGTATTTATATCAAAGGTAATATTATTCTTGAATTGGGAAGTTTCCAATATTAGACATTGAAGCAGTTTCGCTCCCATGAAAAATAACTATATTGTATATAAGTTTATAATATGCTCATTTTCATTCAGTAGTACATAAAAATATTACCATGTTCTAGAAAATCATCATTTTAAGTAGTACATTAATGTCCACAATATAAGTACCATGGCTTGTACTTGTACACAATATAAGTACTTGGCTTGTATGTTCAACATTTTAGTTATTTGTAATGTATTATTACAAGTAATATAAACATTTTCTTGGTATAGATAGATGATAAAGACCAAGAGATAGATATTGAGATAGGCATAGGAACTTTTTAAATCTAAATTTTTTTAGGTTCACTAAATTTATTTTAAAAATCATGAAACATTTTCTTACAAAAGAGCATTACATTCTGCACACTGCTCTGAACAGATGCTGGGGACATGTGGATGACTGGCACTTTCCTTCGTGTCTAACCCCCAAATGTTTACAGTGACCACACAGAGCAAGGTGTTCACAATAATTACATGGGGGAATTTTTTTAAACCACCAACAATGAACAAAAATAGGGATAGAAACTTTTAAAATTACCTTGACAGACATTTTAAAGAAGAAATTTCTAGCACAGTGTTAATATGTTTAAGAAAGTTTCTAGCAGGTTTTTCACATGAAACTATCACTAGTAGTACTATACATAGTTGTCTTTTTTGCATATGTAAACCAGTAATGATTATCTGTTAAATTTTTGCTGTTATTCAAAAGAAAATTCTAAACATTATCTTTAGTTACTCATTCGAACTTCTCTCAAAAAGGAAAGGTATACTTGAAATACTTTAAAATGTACCCAATAAAATTTGGGTTTCCTTTAATAATATCTTTATAGAATTGTAAAAATGTTGTTTGAGTTTAAGGTGTTTTGTTTTTGGAATCTGTGTGTTCTGAAAGAAGAGAGTGCATAGATTAGATCAACCATGAATGGTTTGTCAATGGGTTTTTATTTATTTATTTATTTATTTATTTATTTATTTATTTATTTTCTACTGCAATGCAACTATTAGAAAATTTAAAATTACTTGTGAGCTCACATTGGTTTTCTTTTTATGGTCAATGATCATTTTATTTTTTAACTGACACATATAAATTGTACATATGATATATATGTCATGTGATTTTTTTTTTTTTTTTTTGGTACCAGGGATCAAACTTGGGACCTTGAGCTTGTGAGGCAAGCAGTGGAACCACTGAGCTAAATCCCCGGCCCCATGTGATGCTTTAATGTGTGTAGATCAGGCAGTGTAATAGCTTCCTATAACTATATTAGTGGCCATCAGTAAAATCAACTGAATTGCTTCACACTACTGGGACAGAACATATCAAAGCTTTTAGTGTCAAAGGATGATACTTGTAAAATATTTTGCATTACAGCAATTTCTAATCAGCAGTGTCTTTATGGAGGAATATGTGCATTTCCCAATGTATGTTTTCGCCGGACTAGATATGCTGGAGTCAAATGTGAAAAGAAAATACGAGTACTTAAAAATGTAAAGGGAAAACGAATATTGCATAGTGACTTCTCAATATCTCTTCTACTTAGTAATTGACTTCTATTTATATTTTATTTCCAAAATAAAAATAGAAGAATTTAAGACTTGGTTTTAAACTAAAAATATCTTTCCACTTTGGTTTTAGTTATTATATGAAAGTTTGATGTGCACTTAAAGAATTTCAGTGTGTACACACAATACAAAAGACCTCTCAAAAATATCTTAATGTTAATCTATAGCTATTTTATTTTTAAAACTAATTTTATGCTATTTATTACTTTATAAAGTGCCCAAAGATCATGAATATCAAAGTTTCCTGGAGTACCATAATTTGAAAAATGATTAAAAATTTTCTTCTTGAAGCTTGATACTGGACAATCTGGCTTAGAATCAAAATGGATTTGTATATGTTGTTCTCTTATCACTGGTAGTTATCGTCAAAGGATATGGCCCTCATTTTGAAAATAACAGATTCACAATAGGGCTATGGTTTGAAAATTTAAAAAAAACTAAACTTATGGGGGTACTTATGTGATTAGGGGTTACTTGAGAAAAATAAAAGTAAAAGCTTAGTCTCTCTGGGTTTGAAAACAATGCAAATATATAATACTTTAATTTTATTTGAGCTTCTATGGCTCAGAAAATCTTATGACCTCAAAAGCTTTTCATCTTTGATGGTATTAAACTAGCTTGATTCTCTATATTTATTCATCAAGTGAATCCTTATGTGCTCAATAGCACATTATCCTCATCCCCATTAATGTGGCTTGTGATACTGCATCTGGAGTCCTACAAAGGATAAAAAGAACAGAAGATCCTGGGAAAGATAAAGGAAAGGAGGCTAGTCATGAAAACACTTCCTGCTTTATTAAAACTTGATCTCCAAAATTCTTACCTTGAATCTGGCTCTGTTCTCTTGCTCACTGGTGGCATCACTTCTACTTGCTTTTAATATTTCTTTGGTTCTTAAAAACAAGTTAAAGAAATTTCATTTTAGCATAAAAAAAGCAAGCATCTTTTATGGGAATTCACAAAACCTCTAAAGCCTTCCTTTGCTCCCCTCTTCCCCAGCTTCCCAAAGGAGCACTCAGACTGGCTAATCAGCCCCTGGCCTCTCTTCTCGTACCTTAAACTAATAAGTGAAAAAGGAAATGGAGGATACTGGTTAGATTGCGAGAATTTTAATAAAATAGAGAATTACCAGCTAGAGACAAAAGACACAGAACAAGAGGAAAATGGACAAGGAAAGAAAGAGGTGCTAAAGAGGGTGGGATGGTAAAAAGCTCTGAGAAGCTCACTAACCTGGTGCTAACTGCTGAATGCACTTGATATTGGTCTTGCTAATTGTTTTCTTTCTGATTTGAAGCAAGATACTTGACTCCTCTGAACTGCACTTTATCAATAATATGGGGCTAATCATAATAACAAATACCTGTGTGAAGTTTCTAGAACAGTCCCTGGAATATAGAAAGCACTATGTAAAAGTTTGTTATTATTTATTATATGAAATAGAGGAAGATAGAGAAATGGAGAAGGGGTAGAGAGGGAAACTTAAGAGAAAAGTTACAACACATCGTGAATATCTACAGTCTTTCCCAAAGGATATCAGAAAAAAGTTTGTTAGTTATTATGCATAGATTTTTTTAAAATGTAATGCTTTGCAAAGATGGAATCACATATTTTGCAAGCTTCATTCAGTCATAGCTGCTTTGACCTGTAAGTATGATCTTGATTGGATGACATTTTTAGAAAAACAATACAGAGTGTAGTGGCAAACAGAGCCAAAAGAGCTTTATGCATGATGTCATAGAGAAAGAGGGAGAAACTAATGAATAGGGATTAAAGGATTTTCTACTATTTGTTGAAACTTCATTTTTTTCTTCCTACTACAGATAAAACATCATTGAGTAACATCAAGTATATGAATTACAGGCCCATATCATAAAAACTGAAACTTTTTAATTCAGAAAAAATTGAAGATAACTCTTGAAGTTTATTTGAATATCATTTAAAAAATTTTTTTAAATGGAAGAAACCTATAGAATGATTTTAATTGTAATTGTTAGAGAAAAGCAAAACAGAACTCCACACAATCTAAATTTCACTTTAAAATGTGATTTGATATTTATATATTGAGATGATGTATCTGATATTCCAAATATTTACAATATTTAATAAACTGAGTATTTTCTCAATCCTGTGACTAGATTGTGTTGTATTATGGAGGGATCAATCAGCAAAAGAGAAACCACTTGATGTCTCCCAAATATACAGTGTGTAAGACATAATTAAGGTCTTGCAGGGCTGTTGAAAGAACTGGAGATGAGAACAGGGATGTGGAGGTCCAAAAGTGGGCAAAAAAGATTGGAGCGATTGATATTGAAGAGTCCAGTTAAAGCACCAAGCAGGTACTTTGGAGAAGCTTTCCTGGAGCTGCTATGAACAGTACTTGAGAATCTTCATAGTCCAGCACCAGCTCTCTGAAGAAAAGTGGGTCATTCACAAACACGTGCTGGAAAGTCCTGTGAATCTTTCATCCACCCATGCATCTAACTACAAATACCTGTAAAGAAAATAACAGCTTCCTCTTCATTTCCTTCTCACAACTCTCCAGCAAGTTCTTCTCATTGGCAAACTCTAACACAGAGACCCTCAGAGAATGGGGTTCTGATAACATAGTTCCCAGCCTTAGAAAGATACAGAAATGAACTGTGGAGAAACTAGTGAGCTGACACAAAACTCACTAGAAGATCCATGTCTTACTGCTGTTGACTGTGTTCCAAGATCAAAGCCATCACTTTACAGTGATAGAAATACTGTAACATATTTAGTTGTGTCTGTTTTATTCTCTTCTAATCTTCCTATTGCTCTGACCTATACTATTCCTCAGTAAGGGGGAAGAAATGATAAACATTTTTATTTTAAAAGACTTATTTAGTCATAATGTTTATATGAGAAAAGAAAAACAAAATGCCTGTATTACTTTTCCCTTCTTTATTAGCTACTTTCCCATTGCTGAGACCAAATACCTATACTCACAACTTAAAAGGAGGAGAGGTTTATTTTGGGTCATGATTTTCAGAGGATTCTGTACATGATCAGTTGACTCTAAGGCAGAAACATGGTGGAAGGGAATGGCAGGGAAAGCTGCTCAACCCATCCAGCCAGGAAGCAGACAGAGGAGGAGCCAAGGAGAGCGAAATGCTCTACAAAGGCATGCTGCCAGTCACACACCTTGATTAACCTTTCCCCTTCTTCTAACAGCACCTTTAGCTATGAAATCATCAATGGATAAGTTCCCTGATGACTATAGACTCACTACAATCGAATTACCTTCTAAAACTACCACTTCTGAACACATGAGATTTCTTTGGGCCATGGCCTGAAAGGGGATAGTGGGGAGCAGACCCTTATATTCCTCTTTCACTTCCTGGCCATGAGGTGAATAGTTTGCTCTGCCTCACACTTCCATAAAGATGTGCTGCCTCCCCGCAGGCCCCGAAATGTTAGGGTCAGTCAGTCAGGGGCTGACACCTTCAAAATTGTAAACCAAAATAAACTTCTTCTCTCTTAAGTTGATTAATATCTGTTATTTTTTATAGTGGCAGAAAGTTTACTAGTAGTGACCTATTTTGGTGTGGGAGTTGAGAGAGATGATCACAAAATTAAAACCTTCTACAAGAGAATTGGTTGTAGATGATTTAAAAAAAACCCAAAATTAGATGTATCGTTGGAAAAGTGAGTGATGACAACAGGGAATACACACATAACTGAATGATCTTTTTCAATGTTACAAGTAATTGTCAATAAGGGTTATAAATCTTTATCCTGTTTCATATTTAATCTCCCATTTTTCAAAAAGTATATCGTTTTAATTTAAGCAATACCCATTTTATTTATTTATTTATTTAGTTATTTTTTCTGGTACCAGGGATCCAACTCGGGACTTTGTGGTTGCAAGGCAGGCAGCAGAACCACTGAGCTAAATCCCTGCCTCCCCCATTTTAAATTATATAAATTTGTAAAACTCATTTTTTTTTTTACGCAGAAAGGCTGAGCATTCCTTAGCCATATCTAAACCATAGGCTAAATTAAGATACTATTAGTATAGAATTACTGCTAACTTTGATAAGGAACTTTTAAGTATTAGCTTCTAATGTCAGAATTAAAGAGATTTTTAACATCCTTTCATATTTGCTGAAAATCAGTTATAAATGATTATTAAAGAGAATATAATTAAAAGTTTCACTGTTTTATTTACCAAAAATTCAGAAATAGAAATGCAAAATAAGCCATTGAGACTTGGTATGCACTTAAATTTCTAAGATCTTGTGAAAACATGAGTACTACAATGAAAAATGTACTGTAGATAAAAGAGTAATTTTTGAAGTTCATAATTTGAATCCAAATCCAAGCTATGAAAATAGTCATGATTCTATATCAGTCTCTCTGCCAACTTTTCTTAGTATGAAACAGAAATTTTATCTATAGTCTCATTAAATTTATTTTCATGCAACTTTTTATAGTTGAAAAGTTTATAGTTGTTCAAGGATATATTGTAAAATACCTAAACTAATATGTTAAAATTTTCACAAATATTTCTTAGTTTCATACCAGAATTCTCAACTTGGAGAATCCATTTGTAATATGTTTAATGGGCCTGTAAATACTAATAGTGAAGAAATGCTATGGCTTATAGATTTTGTATAAAACTACTCATAAAAGTTAATGACTCATGCAAATGAAAGTATTATTTTTAAAATATAATCTAAATTTAGAAAAGCAAGAAATTTGGTAAATTTATAGGGATGAAATTGACTTTTTTGCTTATTTCTAGGTTATAATTTTCCATCAATTGAAATATTTTGTTCAGAAGCTATCTAGAAAATATTTTTTAAAAAATGAGTGTTTCAGAATTTGAGCACAAGTTACTTTAAAACATGTTTTTCTTATGTGTACCTTATAAATAATTATCAAAAATAATTCAAATCATAGATCTTACTTAATTTCTATGCTTGGCTGATTTTTATTCATGTTACCATTAAAACAAAATGTTTTTATTATTAAGCATTTCTGTATGTTCATTGACCCTTTATGTAAAATGCAATACTTTTTCCTTTTTAAAATGTTCCTACAACTGGAAATATAGTTCAGGGGTATAATGCTTAGATCAACATCATCACAAAGGAGAAAAAAATCTGGTAAACCTTATGAAAAATATTAAAGTATCACAGTCTTTTTGACAAAATTATACATTTATCTTGTTTTAATATTCACAAATTACAAACTTTAAAATTTCAGGTTAAATCAATTTAGAGATATTTGTGGCTCATAATGGAAACATAGATGTATTGTGTATAACAATTTTATAAAGCTCTGTTATTCAACTGTTGAAATATTTATGTACTTCAGTTTAAATCATATATATTTATGCTAACCAAATGTACTACTCTGTTTTCCCTTTGCTGGGACATAACGCCTGCTATCTACAACTTAAAGGAGGAGAGGATTAATTTCGTTCATGGTTTCTTAGGGTTCAGACCATTGTCAGCGGGCTCCAGGGTTGAAACATCATGGCTGGAGGGCATGAGCAAGCAAAGATTCTTAGTTCATGATGGCTGGGAAGAAGAGCAGGGGAACAGTGACAGAAAGGAAGGGGCAAGAGACCAGATATAGATTCCCAGGTTACAACTCCATGACCCATCCAAACATACCCAGAAGTACATTTCGTTAATCCTCTGGGAGGCTCTCAAGCTAGTCAAATTGGCAATCTACTTTAAGTATCATATCCCACCCCTTGTCAACTTGAAACCCAAACATATCTCCTTAAACTATATTTAATCACCAATTAAACACAAGATCATTTTTCCATCTACATAACACAACTATCCTTCATATATTCAAAACATCCAGAGGGCTTTGGTGACCCTATTCCTATGGTCTTGCTGGTTGTAGCCCACATGGCATTTTTCTTGGCCTGGCTCTGCTCACAGCCTGAAATTTTCCTCATATGTTTTCTGTTCCTGGCATCTCCAACTTCCTTTCAAATTTTTATCCTTTGGCTTTTGTCTCCCAGTCTCACTATAAATCTAGCTAAAATCAGTCACCAGTACCCATGCCACTCCTGAACATGACATTACCTTTTCTCAGCTAAATCAGAACCCTTAAACTCAGCCTCCCACAAAGTCTCAATATACAGATGAAATGTAGACAATTCTTTTTTTTGGCAGAGAGTATAACATACATTGCCAGAGTATAACATACATGGCCTCTACATCCCAGTACAGTCCTGGTTTCCAATTGAAACCTCATGAGACTGGTCATTGTGGTCCACATTCCTATCAGCATTCTGGTCTTCTGATCTCAGACATTGCTTACAACATTCTGGAGATTCTATAATCTGCATCTTCAAACCTTTCCAGACTATTTCCAAAAGTTTCTGAACTACGTGCTCATATACACTCATAGCAACAGACTGTTTCCAGTACCAATTTTGTGTGTTAGTTAGCTTTCCTGTTGCTAAGACACAACTCTGACACCCATAAAAGGAGGAGAGGTTTAATTTGGCTCAGGGTTTTATATGCCATCATCAGCTGGCTCCGGGGCAGAAACATCATGGCTGAAGGGCATGGAGAAGTGAAGATGTTTAATTCATGGTGGCTGGGAAGTGAGTAGGGAAACAGTGCCAGAAAGGAAGGGCCAAAGGGCCAGATAGAGATCAGAAGTACCCGACTCCATTACCCAACCAGGCACACCCAGAAGTACACTTTATTATATGTGCTTCCAAAGCGAGCACCAGAAGTACACTTTATTAATCCCTGGGATGGCTCCCAAGCCAACCAACTTGACAACCCACACTAATCATCATCCCAAATTAACATAATATTCTGAAAAGTAGGAAATTTAAGTGGAATATATTAATTCTTATATA